CCAGAAAGACCAAGACCGTTCATTTTGCCATGTTCCCAAAAATATGCAGTTAGATGACTTCGGCCCTAATTCTCACTGGCTGACTGGCTGCTGGATAATAAAGACCTCATGGCCTCATGCCAAACCTCAGCCATCTCATTTTTAATCCTGAATCCCTGCTGCCTGCATGTCTTCTGGATGTCTTCTGGCCCAAAAAGAAACTACACAGCCTCCCCCAGTATGACATCTGCATTTCCTTGAAAGCCGGAGATTCTTCCTTCCTCCTCTCTTAGGTCTGGGAGCAGCATAATTGTTATTTTCTGCCCCACTGTCTTGCCACTGGTGACTAATTTGCTGAATTGTTTTCACTCTTGCTTCCCTACTATTGATTTTGACTGCACAAAGCACCATAAATGGGGCAATCTCTTGGATCCCCTAGCACTGAAAAATCTTGGATGGGCTATTTATCTGTCAAACCGAAACCTTCTGAATAGATCTTCATTTGGCAAATCATCCAGAACTGGTACCAGCTCTTGAGTGGGAGCACCAATGTCGTATTTCATCCTGACCTAAACACCTGCTAAACTGCACTGTGCTGGCCTCTCAGGCACCAACAAATCATGACCCTGCTAGGAGCACACTGGGACATTTTAATGTACTTTTTATAGCTGTAAAATAGTTAATGACTTCAGTATATAACAGGTAAGGGATATATTTTATTTTTTTTTTGAGTTGGCAGATTGCCATCTGCCCTTTTGGCTCTGAGATTCTGCATCTGAAGCATGTTCCTTCCAAAACAGATACCCTATCAAAAAAGCGAGTAGGCATCTAGATAATCGGAGCACAAAGGGTCATTGTCTTTAACTGGGAGGCTATGATTCTTTGTTTCTAAAGCTATAATTTGACAGTCATAGCGTGTAACGAGCAAACTAAACTGAACATTTCAAGACTTACATCAAGATAATCTTTCATTTTAAAGGCAGGGCAGTCTAGTGGCTACATCAGGGGGTTAGGACTTTGGAGATTCAGTTTCAAGTTCTCACTCTGAAATAGGCTGAACACCTGTGCTTGGGCAGTTCACATAGGTCAGGCTTCTCTAAGGGCATAACCCAACTGAAAACACTGGGAGTTAAGTTTCTGTGTACCTCTGAGGATTTGGGTCCAAGTGCCCCAGAAATCCTAAATGCTCTTTAAGCAGAAAAGTTGTGTGATCTGTCCATTGTTTCCACTGAAGAGACCATTAGGGCAGGGACTGAATCCGTGTCTTGATAAAAAAACTTTAATTCATCCCTTTTTAGCTAGTAGCAGACAACATCACAAGCAAGGCAGGAGACAGCAAGGCCAAGAGTGTGCTTTTAGATAACTTGGGGGTGGAGGTATATTTCAAGTTTTGTGTCTCCCTTTGAACCTTGAGAGATGTGGGAGGTGTTCCAGGCTGAGAAAAGCTTGAGTTTCTTTCCCAGGTTCCCATCCCCTCTGTTCTTTATGCTTTCTGAGGCACAAACTCAGTAATGTCTGCTGCAAAGGACCAGAGGAGGTGTGGGAAGCAGCCAGGAGAGAGGTGCAGGACCACATAAGGATGCTGGAGTTAGAGGTGACAGTGCTCTGGGCATGTGTCCAGGCCTTGCTGGCACAGACTAGCTGTTGTTAGAAAGAGTGAGTGTTAGAGCAGCCTGAGTCAGACTCTCCCTCCTGCCCCAGTCCTTTCTGCTAATATTTATTAACTTGACTGTTTCAGTATTAAAGACCCAGCATAGTTGAGCTCTGATTCAGATTTCTTGGTAATAACCACCCCAAAGCATAACATTTCTCCTCCCAAGGTGGACAGAAGTCTGTGGAACATCTTTGTCCCTGAAGGAAGCAGGGAAATTCGCAGACAAACCATTCTGGCTGCCTTCACTTTCTTCCTTCTCCTCGTCCTGTGGAAACAGTGTTAGCAACACTTTCCATGGTGCCTTGCCTCAGATCACCTCTCTCCTTGAATGCTCTCCTCTGAAAGGGGGAAGGAGCAGCACCAAACCTCTGGTCACCTCTGGGGGAGAAGGGCAGTGAAAAAAGAAAACCGGTTATATGGGGCTGCAGGTGATCTGCTCTGCAGCAATGCTGTGTCAATAGGCAGGAAGGTCCTTCATCCTGGTAAAACAATTTGCAGCGCTCCAGCTTGGTCATTCTAGAGGAAGCTGGTGCCCTGGCTAGTTTGTTCTGTGCAGGTAATAGCAATACTCTTGACACAGCAACTCCTCATGAAGAACTACACATTTGGAATACCTGTTTTTCTTAAGCAGATGCAAGTTTGCACTCATTGAGCTTGTCCTTGCTATCACCCCAAATGTGTTTGCATGATTATGAAATGCTGCATACTCTGGGGTTTCTTCATAGAACCATAGAATGGTTTGGGTTGGAAGGGACCTTTAAAGATCATCTGGTTTGAATCCCCCTGCCATGGGCAGGAACACCTCCCACCAGACCAGGTTCCTCAAAGCCCCATCCAGCCTGGCCTTGGACACCTCCAGGGATGGGGCATCCACAGCTTCTCTGGGCAACCTGTTCCAGTGTCTCACCACCCTCACAGCAAAGAATTTCTTCCTAACATCTAGTCTGAACCTCCCCTCTTTCTATTTAAAACCATTACCCCTTGTCCTATTGCTCCTCTCCATGATCAAGAGTCCCTCCCCATCTCTTCTCTAGGCCCCCTTCAAATACTGGAAGGTTGTAACGTCTCCCCGGGGCCTTCTTTTCTCCAGGCTGAATAACTCCAGCTATCCCAGCCTGTCCTCACAGGAGAGGTGCTCCAGCCCTCTCATCATTTTTGTGGCCTCCTCTGGACGTGCTCCAACAGGTCCATGTCCTTCTTATGTATGCGTCCCCAGAGCTGGACACTGTACTCCACGTGGGAGAGCAGAGTAGAGGGGCAGAACCACCTTCCTTGACCTGCTAGCCATGCTTCTTTTGATGCAGCCCAGGATGTGGTTGGCTTTCTGGGCTGTGAGCACACAATGCTGATTCGTGTTGAGTTTCTCATCAACCAACACCCCCAAGTCCTTCTCCTCAAGGCTTTTGTCAATCCCTTCTCTGCCCAAAGCCTGTATTTGTGCTCGGGATTGCCCTGACCCAGGTGCAGGTCGTTGCATTTGACCTAGTTGAACTTCATGAGGTTTTTGTGCGCCCACCTCTCAAGCCTGTCCAGGTTCCTCTGGATTGGCATCCCTTCCCTTCCTTCTTCTGCTGCTTAGTGTAGCCAGTGTGAATAGATGGTGAAGTCAAGCTGAAACTGTAGTTTAGGTGAATATATCATTTAGGCAGAAGACCTGTCAACAGGACTCAGAAGCTTAGGACTGCCTGGAGACATTTATCAGCTACAAATCCTAGTGTCTCCCTGCACCTGCCATGGCTGCAGACACACCGCAGGTTCTTGCAGTGCTGTGAAGAGAGAGCCGGCCAGGTGGGACACTCCTTGGTGGGCTTGTCACTGACACCTCACCTGTAGGCCCATCTCCATCACAGTCATGCACACCTCTCGCTGGTTGATGACATTTTTGCATCCATTTCTGCAGTTTTGTCCTATTAATCCGGATACATCCCCACTGACACCAGCAGAAAAATTGCTGCCAGCCTTCATGGGGTGAGCTTCTCAACAGCCCCCGCATTTGGGAAGTTGTCCTCGGCTGTTGCTGAAGTCAGAGAGAGCCAGACTGAGCCTGGGAGTCGGGAATCACATTTCTGGGCTGTTCCATTGACTTGCTGAACACACGAAGGGAGTTAGGACGTCTTTCTTTGCCATCTGTTATGTAGAGGGAGGTTGGTAATTCTCTCCCAGCGAGCAGAGCACTGGTGATTCAGTGCCAGTTTTGGTCGGTTTCTCAGTGATGGAGGACGGCAATATCTACAGAAGTGCTGAGCTTGCTAAGTCAGTTCTGCAAGCTGCGCATGAGTGGAGGGGCAAGAGGTGCCGAAAGAAGGAAATATTCTCACTTTTGGATACGTCTGCCACCATGAAATCTGTGTTTCCCAGGTTCTTCCCAAGGCAGCACAACCTGTTGAAGTAGCCCCAGAGACTTGAGGTTGGAAGCGAGCACCTGCTCAAGCTGACTGTCCTAAATATAATGGTTTTGTAGAACAACATCAGCCGTAGTGACCTCCTAGAGAGAAAAGCGAGCAGGGAGTCTGGGGTGATGGTGAGGAGGAGAGGGGACAGCCAGTTAAATATGGGTCTGTTTGAAGTGAGGTCAAAATATCGAAGTTAAAATAGTGATGAGTTTGAAGGAGATGAGGAAAACAGATTGGGATGATGAGACAAGCGGGCAGGAGAGGACCGGATTTTAAATTTGAAGACAAAATGGACTTCCTTTCTTTGGTGGAAATATGTCAGAAGAGGAACTCAAACTCAAAAATTGGAATAAAATACAAATAGAAAATGAGACATTTTAGAATTATGCTGACGCTTTTCATGTCAATATAAATAGTGCTATTTGATACAGTAATGGTTTTCTGTTTTGTGAGCATAACACACTGCGTCTCAGATCATGCTGCTGCCTGAATAAGCTGAGTCCATCCATAAACATTGAATTATGGAAAAAAAAAAAAAAGCAGCATTGATAGATAGCTCTTGAACAACCTGCAGGGAAATACGAGATGTTTGCATGGAGCCCTTTATGGGTGATGGCATTCATCCACCAGCTATACAACTCTGTAAATACATTTATACAACTCTATCTTCGTGACTGTGGAGTATATAGGATGGCCTCTGCCTGTATGAGGGGGCAATGCTCCGAACCAGTTTGCCTCTCTGCCTCTCTGGGAGCATGCACACGCAAATACGCTTGCAGCTAAGTAAATAATTATATATATAACTGGTTTATGGACCCTACTGCTGCATAGGCACAAAATGATTGCAGGGAAATGATGCTGCAGACTTAGCGTATAATATAGCTGGTTGTTATGGCATCAATCATTACCTACTCTGTAAAAGGTAGATTGCAGACTAATTCTTGTTTTTTGTTTTTCTCCTTGAATCCTAACAGAAAATGGACCCCGTCTACTTGTGGTAGCAGAGCAAGCTAAAATCTTCTCACACCGGGGTGGCAACGTCACACTGCCATGTAAATTTTACCATGAGCACACATCATCAACAGTTGGCTCAGGAACCCACAAAATCCGGGTCAAGTGGACCAAACTCACCTCAGATTACCTCAAAGAAGTGGACGTCTTTGTTGCAATGGGCCAGCACAGAAAGAGCTACGGAAGCTACCAGGGCAGAGTGTTTCTGAGGGAAAGCAGTGAAAATGATGCCTCTCTCATAATCACAAATATAATCCTGGAGGATTACGGGAGATATAAGTGCGAGGTGATTGAAGGATTGGAGGATGATACAGCCGTGGTAGCTCTGAATTTGGAAGGTAGGTAACACCTGAATTATACTCAAATTCAGATTTGGTCTGTGTTAGGCAATATCTGCTTTTATCTCCTGATACTGCTGATATTGTATTATCAGTGATAACAGCAAGCTGAGAAGTGGGATTCATTGTGCACTGGGGATCTTGGCTTGACAACCTGTGACATAGATCATAAATTAGAAGGACATTAGGACTTGTAGAGCTTATATTAGCCCTAGGTAGATTCAGCTCCCAGTGGGACCCGGTGTGAGGGGAGCCAAAAAAGAATGACCAGTCATATGAAGAACTCCATATGTTTTTAATTTGCTTCTATCACTTTACAGAAGTCATTGCATATTTTTACAGTAGGCTTAGGCAAAATTATATTAAACATTGCCCTAATAGCTATTATACAGACCTTCTGGACATTTTAGATTATCAAGCAAATACAAGTCATCTTACAAAGACTAAAAATGTTAAAGCAGTTTTCCAGAGACAGTGGTTTTGTTTTTTCCAGCCTGATAATTATATAAAATAGATCTCTATATTGCCTGCCAAGACAACTCCTACATGTAGTCTGTAGTCATTTCCCTCAGCAATATTATTGAAAACAAAGCATTAGAGTACAAAGCATTAGGAAAAAAGGAAAAAAGAAAGAAACAGTTTTAAAGAGGACGAAAAATTCAGCTTTACTTTACTGTTAGGAAATGCAGATAACTTTTATGAGATGCAGTGCATGTGATCTGGCATTTGCCTTTTTCCCCAGACCACTTCACTGAACTCAGCAGTAAGCTTAAAGTTGCATGAAGATGTCTCCCTTACCCTTATACTTACCAGCAAGCGTGTGCCAGAGAGAACTTTATAAAAGCCACATCATCCGTGAAAAGTGGTTAGGAAGAATAAAGAAGAGAAAAGACGAAAATCAGCCCCCTGGGCTCTCTGTAAACGTGTGAAATATATGACTCTTTCATTGAGGGTTATTGTAGATTACGAGGGCTATATAGTTACCCTGCACAATAAGAGTGGCTGAGTGGTTCCTGGAACCAAATAGATGTCATGGGCTTAGCTTACTCCTGTACATCCCTTCTTCTACTGCTTGTTGAAGGCTGCTGAAAACGTCCATTTCTGAGGGCAGAGAGGCCCTGCACACTTTCTATGCCATCAGGACAATCAGTTTTAGGTTGTTTCTCCTCACGTAATCCCTCTTTAATAAGAATGTACACCGTGTTTGTCCCCAGAATGTCTCTTCTTTTCTGCACTGTTGTGCAGGCGGTCCTGGAACCCAGCCCTGGGTTGAGAGGATGCTCAATAATTTGATAATATTCTTCTGACAGTCTCCTTACATCCTAAGTACATATCTCTATCGGGCTTCAAATTATTCCAGATAAATAACTACGTATCTTATTCCACATCAGGTGCTGGGATTTCCCTGCATTTTATGCACACTTAGCACTGTGCCTCTGAAACAAAAGTTCATTAGCTCTCTGCTGTTAAAAGCGAGGAGGTTCCAGTACAAATGCTTCCCGCTGTGCCAGGACTGCCTGGGGAAGGGGAGATGCCAGTGGCTGCAGTGGCAGATCAGGAAGCTTTGCCTCAAGCTTGGTACCAATACTTGTGCCCGTGCAGAGAGCCACGTTTGAAAGGCAATATTGGATTGATACCAGACTAAGAAAACAACGAGAAATTTTCTATACTGCAGACAGCAGCACGACAAAAAGGAGATTTTCTGGGGTTTTTTTACTGTGACTGTTTCATGACGCAGCACCAGCCCAATGGATTAAAGGTGTGAGTCCCACCTCCTGATACACACTCGAGCTTACTGCTGTTACTCTAAACAGGGTCTGCCTCTGAAGTGTGCCAACTCCATCCCGTCCTGGACAACAGCACCACTCCTTCCTCTTTTCCCCCACCTCCAAAACACAGAAATTCATAACGGTTGGAGGAATCATATTTTTCCAACCAAGTGTGTTCCAATCTCTGCTCAAAGGAAATTTCATATATTTTAACTAGTGTCGGGCTAACATAAGGAATGATGGTTTTTTAATTATTTTTGTCAGATGTGGGACAGGTGTAGGACTGTTTATTTCTGATGTTATAAAGTGATGTTTCCTAAACTGACAGGAAAATTTTGTTTGCAAAACGTCACAGTAAAATGTAACCTTTCAAGTGAGAGAAGGCTGGTGAGTGTGTCAGTGTCAGTCCTGGTTATGGCCACTAAATCAAATAATTCTGCATCTGAGTTACATTGAATTTTCCTTCTAAAATGATAATTATTAAAATACTTATATTTACAATGGATATGTATAGTTGATGGAATGTGTTCCTCCATTTGCATGCCCCTGTGCTTATTTTTTCATCTTCTCTGTGGCTTTATGTGGTGCTGGCTTTAATTTCTGTTTTATGTACTTAAGCAATGCAGAACAGATCAAGGGGAAAAAAATTCAATCTTTGGAGAAAAATAAAAATATATCAGCCCATTCCAACTTTCTACATCTGTTATAAATAATAAGGTTAATCTCACAGTGGGGAGGATTTGCATCAATAGCCTGGTGTCCTGAGATGGTGGCCCTGAGGATGTTAATTGGCAGCAAGACAAAACCATTTATATCCAGGAATGCCCACTAGCAGTGCAAAAGAGCTGATCGCTCCAAAGTGAGCTCACTGTGCAAACAGTATAGCTGTGGCTAGACAAAAGGATGTTCATAGATCAATATGAAAATAGTTGACCTCTACCTCAATTGACCTTTTTTCTCCTCCAAAGTGGTAGTGTTTTATCCATAGAATCATAGAATGGTTTGGGTTGGAAGGGACCTTAAAGATCATCGAGTTCCAACCCCCTGCCCTGGGCAGGGACACCTCCCACCAGACCAGGTTGCTCAAAGCCCCATCCAGCCTGGCCTTGAACCCCTCCAGGGATGGGGCAGCCACAGCTTCCCTGGGCAACCTGTTCCAGTGTCTCACCACCCTTGCAGGAAAGAATTTCTTCCTATTATCTAGTCTAAATCTCTCCTCTTTCAGTTTAAAACCATCACCCATCATCCTATCGCTCCCCTCCCTGACCAAGTGTCCCTCCCCATCCCTCGTGTAGCCCCCTTTAGTTACTGGAAGGGGCTATAAAGTCTCCCTGGGGCCTTCTCTTCTCCAGACTGAATAACCCCAACCCTCTCTCTCTTCATAGGAGAGGTGCTCCAGCCCTTTGGATACTTTTAGCTTTGAAAAACCAGTGGAATTAGATTCAGTGTGCATTTGTTACATACCTTACACGGTTTTGGTATGCTTTCTTCACTACTATTTAATGCAGAATCATGCCATTTTCCCCCTGCACTAGTGACACAGTGCTGCCTAGCAGCTAGAGCTCAGGACTAGGATTCACTGCTGTATTTCACAACCACCAGCTTTAAGAACTATTTAATCATGTCATGATTATTGTGATGTTGGTAGCCTTAAGTACAAGGGTTGGTCTAAGGGCAGGGGAGTTGGGCTGAGCGCGGTGGCTGCAAGAAAATGTCAAGTACTGCAGAGAGCAGGACACTTTTTATGTTGGCCTTTTCTCAGTGAGAAGCCATTTCCTCACTGAAATGGCCTTACTCTCCTCCTGCACATAAAATACGCATCATGAGTTTTACACTCTGTCAAATGTCCTGAGAGCCAAAAGCTTAACAAATTAAAGTGTTTCCTATGGCAGGTAGATATTGTTGCCCCAGTCATAAGCGAAGGAAGAATTCCCAGCTTACATTAAATTTTCTTTATGTTGGTGTTTTACTGTTCTACACTAAATTTTCTTTATGCTAGTTCTTTACTATTTTCCTTTCTTATGAATACTAGGCAGGGTAATGAATCTCACTACATCAGGCTTCTGTGCTCTGGCTTCCCAGGCGTGCGAAGGCTCCAGCACTGGCCCTCAGTTATACTGCCCAGGCACAGATTTTGTGTACTATTCCTTCGTGAGATTCATGGGCTGGCTGACAAAGAAAGTGGAACAACGCTAAACTGCCAAAGGCAGATTTTTACTCTGTTGGAATTTTTTTTTTTTAATAGTTTCTGTCTTCAGGGAGAGGTGATAACTGAACACATTAGTTTTGCAATACATGCTATAAAATAATTACTTCGTACATTCAACAGTACCAGAAATATCCAGATCTAGATAAAGCCATTAATAATCTTGGTAGAAAGTTACTTCCAGATAGAAGCTAACTCTCTGGGTGGCTCCACATGAAGCAAAAAAACCATCAGGTTTTATGATCTTGCTTAGAGGTATGTTAGCCTTTATATCCCAGATACAGTTAGAAAAAGAACAGGCATGTCTCTCAAGAACAGACTTTTTAGTTCAAAATAGATCAAACAAATCCATAAGCTTCATATAAACAAATTCTTCCATATTGTCACAGCAACTGCTTTCTAATCCAGTCATTTGCTCTTAAACTGGATGTAAGCAATGGGGAATTCATAGCTGAAACCAATATGTAACCAGCTTCATGCTCTCAACAGCAGGAGAAATCAGATTTAGCCTAATACTGGGTGCCTGATTTGTTTCGTTTGTGTGTTGCTGTTACATTCATACACAAAAAGCTATTTTAAATATCCTTTGCGTGACAATCTGTTGTACTCTCTACTATAAAACTGATTTTATAGGACACAACATTTGTGAGTCCCTAGAAGACAACAAAAAGACTTGTAAAAGACAACAGGAGTTTGTCAAGTCTAAGTCATGACAGACCAATGTAATTCCTTCTGTGACAGGTTAACAGGTCTGTGCAGGCACAGCTGTGTTTGCAAGTGCTGTGAGAAATGGTACTTGAAAGATGCAGGTGAAGTAAAAAGTTAAAAAAAAAAACAAAAAAGTTCAAAATCCAGCAGCAAAAAATTATCTGGAAATGATGACCTGAAAGGACAATGCCAAAAAACCAGTGGGACTGATTAGCTGAAGGAGAGCAAGGAAAGACACCAGTCTGCAATTTTTTATGAAGGCTGTAGAAAAATAAAGCAATAATATGCCCCGAGACCAGATGAGTCTAGTTCGTATTTGTCAAAAATGGGCAACCCCACTGACAGTTTATGGGGTGCCGTGGACCATCTCGAGCTTCGGTTTCGTTTTCGGGGAGATTGGTACCTGCTGACAGCTCCTGGCCCACCCGTGGAGTCTGTGCTGGGTGATCGGAGACCTGACAGCCCTGGCAGGCAGGGAAATGGAGGTAGGCTCTCAAGGAAAATGAGGGACTCGCCACTTTTTTGCAGAATTTTAGAAATCCAGCATGGAAAATTTTGCCATCAAGTGTGTGAAGCTGCCAGCATAAAACTGTACCCTACAGTACAGTATATAGCAAACCCTGCTGTTACCCGTGTTTACACTGGCTACAAGGAAACTTACTTTTCTGTTTGGGCTAGAACTCAAGGAAGCCCATTTCTTTACACTGGCTGTAAAAAGACCTTTTTTTTTCCATATGGGTCAACAGAAATTTGTGTTATTTTGTTCTATGCGTAAATACTCTTAAAACTGCTAATTGTGTGTGATGCTGGCTTAATAGATTCCCATAAATTGTTACGGGAGTTGAGCTTTCTAAGGTTATTTCCTCACCTCCTTGTCTTGGTTAACTGTTACAGCTCCTTGCACGGATGGTGTGTCTGTAGCAATCGAGTAATTGCAACGCACTTGCGCTGAATTTTTAGGGTTTACCTGCCTGTAAGGCTCTTAAATACAAAGAGCTTACAAAAGGCTCACAATTTCTTTTGCATTCCCTAATAAACACAGTAACTGGAGCAGAGTTGTACGTGGATTTGTGGAATCAAATGTAAGGCATTCATGGAGATACAGGCATGCAATGGGGAGGATATGTTGTACATCCCACTCTTATGGTCCGATGTGGTAGAAATCCTGATTTCCATTACAAGTCATTTTCTGGACCAGGATTGCAGTGCCACAGGTGCATATAGCAAGCCTCACCCGGCCCTCCTCCTTCTCTGAAGGGAGCCTACAGGAAGGCTGGGGAGAACCTGTTTAGAAAGGCCTGTAGTGACAGGACAAGGGGAAATGGCTTCAAGCTGGAGGGGAACAGATTTAGATTGGAGATTAGAAGGGGGTTCTTTACTGTGAGGGTAGTGGAGCACTGGAACAGGTTGCCCAGGGAGGTGGTTGAGGCCCCATCCCTGGAGATATTCAAGGAGAGGCTCGACGAGGCCCTGGGCAACCTGGTCTAGTTGGGGGTGTCCCTGCTGACTGCGGGGGTCGGACTAGATGACCCTTGGAGGTCCCTTCCGGCCTGGGAAATTCTATGATTCTATGATTCTTACAGATTTATTCTCCGTGGAGTTGGTGTGTCTCAGGTTCTTCCTCTCCTGCTTGGAGGGAAGGAGGTCTTTCCCTGGGGGTAGGACCTGTTCCCGGAGATCTGCGTATTTGGGAGAGTAGCCCCACTCTCAAGTCTATATTGTAAAATAATATTCCCTATTCAGGCTCCACAAGTGGCTCAGCTGCCTCCTTAGAGTAGGGAAGACAAACCACTAAGGTCAGGTTAAGGCTCCTCAGCTCACTCTTCCCACAACCAAACCAGATTTTAACCATCTGAGGCTGGAAGTTTTTATCTTCCTCCATTTTTTAAGCTGAATTTGTTAACATTTGGAAGTGGGTGTTTTGTCTAATGGTAAAACACAAGGTTGGAGTCAGGGGTTTAAGATTCAGTCTGCAGTTTGGGAACAGTAACAAGCCTCAGGACAGCTTTTGTCCGTTCAAGAACAGATGGGATGGATTATCTTTTGACAAAAGGAAGATGAATAGTAAGATCTAACTATGAATTTCAGCTAGGTTAGATAGGGAAATGAAGGAGGAAAAAATAATATTAACAAAGATGCAAGATAATGCAAAGCTACACAAAACACATAACCAGCCAGTTTTGCTCTGCAAAATCACGAATGGCCACCCCCATCTGCAGGGTGAAATTAATGTTAATCAGTTGCAGGCTTGTACTGCAGATGAACTCAAACAAAAATCAGCTTCTATGCAGTCTACCCAAATATAGCCCAAAGCTAATATTACAGTTTTGTGCATATTTATGTTATTAAAACATTATGTCCCAAACTGTCAAATAGTTTTGTAACAAATTTACATACATATTTAACCCCTTTTAAAAAATGACTTTGGAAACCTTACAGATTCAAATATGTTTGAGTAGTTTCCAATTAATTGTTGCTCAATTTTTAGAAGTATGTACGTTTAGATCTTAATTAAAAAATACCCACCTCTGATGATTTTAGCTTGTTCTTACGCGTATATGCAAATCAGACACAGGTACTCAGCAGGGAGTCAGTTGTCTGAGGAAGTGTAGATCTACAAAAATAATAAGTATTGGATTTCTAATAAAGTAATAAAGCTTGGATTCTTCTGACATTTGCTACATTTTTATTGTAGCCAGTGATATTTCTATCCATTAGCACTGAGGGGGAATGAATAAATTTTTTAAAAAAGGAGTAGAGAAGGAGAAAGGAAAAACAGAAATCCAGAAAGATATGGAACATCTACGGCTTCTTGTTTATGAAGTTACAGTTAACAGGACGTGTTGTGTTACATTACGTTCACTCTTTATAGTTCAGAACAGCTAATAACTGAAAAGCCATTTAACAAAAGATTTACAAAAGGAGAGAACCTCAGCAGACTCTCTAATTAATTGCTGAAGGGGAGCAAAATATTGTTTATTATTACCCTGCCAAGTTTACATTTGCATGCTTTATTTTCTTGGACCAAGTCACCAAGCTTTAGTAATAACAAAGATTTTGTTTGAAAAAATAACACTTCTTGGACGATAGATGGGGAAGGAAGGGAAAGGAAAGAAAGGAGATGTTAAGACACCAGTGGAGTAGACACGGAAGTGGGTTTGAATGTTCGGAAAGAAGAATGGCTTCATTGCATGGCGACAGTCTTGCATGACCATAATGTAATTCTTCTGTCCTATGCTACACTGCCCCGGAGACAAGGAACTTGTTATAGGCGGGAGAATTCAGCAACAGGGAGAAAGGAAAAAAACAAAGACAGATGTTTATACCAGTGTAAAGTTTTTGGCTCATCTCATGTGTTATCTTGTCTTCAGTCCCTCTGCATCCTATAGCACTTAATTCTACAGAGATGTTTGAGAATAAACATTCTGAGCCGGATCTTCTCTGATGCTGTTTTATTTCAGCTTATTATGAGGCTGGGCTAAAGCCAGCTGTAAAATTTAGATCTGGGTTAAGTTTCTGAACCCTGCCAAAGATTAGGGTGGTCCGATCCAAACTTTTGTTTCAAGTCTCTCTCTTCCCTTTTATCAGAGGCACATGGGGAGGTGGTTCTTCAGCATTTTCTGAAACATCTTTCATGCTTCAAGAAGTAATCTTTTACTACAGATCTTTTTCATAAAACAAGCAGAAAATATACTGTGGAAAAATCTGCCAGATAAGGGTAGTAACTTTGGTTAAATGTTGCTGCTGAAACAATTCTGGAGGTGTCCCCACGTTGTCCATCTCCTCTTGGTTTTCTTCTGTTATGAGAAGGTCTCCCTGCCCCAGCAATCTGCCATGGCTCACCACTGATGAGCAACCTACAGGGCTTTGGGATGACCTGCGGCTAGTCCTCAGGGGTAGAAGGAAGCATCTGGCAGTGGCTTTCCAGCAGTTGTCCTTTGGTTCAGCCAGCAGTGCTTTTGGTCACGAGGGAAGGTGGTGTCTCACATGGCTTCCTACTAGGGCCATCTTAGGCCAGGCTGGATGTGGCCTTGAGCAACCTGCTCTAGTGGGAGGTGTCCCTGCCCATGGTAGGGGGGTTGGAACTAGATGATCTTTGAGGTCCCTTCCAACCCAAACCATTCTATGATTCTATGATCTTGCATTGCTGCGTGCAGTGTGCTACATGGGTCACCATCTGCAGTTGGGGAAACCTGTCTCCTGCTCAAGGAACCCTGCTCCCTGATGCCCTCTGTCAGCAGCTCTCCCTCCTTGAATGGTGACAAACTGCCAAAAAACGGCTGGAAAGTAGCAGAAAAGTCTCCCCAAAGCCACACACGACTTCACTGATTTTATTTCCTTATAGATTTCCTACTTTAAGACCTCAGGACACTGAAATTATGTCTCCTACCAGTCTAGCCTTGAAATGTTGCTATTAAGCCAGGCTTGAAATACCTTCCTGTTCCTAGTATAATGTGAAATAAAACAAAAATAAACAAACAAACAAAAAACTGTCTCGAGCCTCTCAGGAAATCTTGGCAAGGGTCCATGCAAAGGACGCAGCACTTTTTTATGTCAATCAAAACATTTCATTTTAATGTCTATGCGTAAAAAAGAAATAGTTCATATCCTCTGTACTACAATTTCTTCTTTCTAAATGACTGCCAGAAAATCCCCAAATCCCACCGGGCAGAAAAATATAACTAGGTTGGGGTTTAATTTACTTTTTTTTTTTTTTTTTTTAAAAATGAGAAATTGATCTTCCAGCCGATAAACTGGAATTTGCTGATGAAGAAGGTGCAGTTGCAGCATTGCTGCTGGCTCTCCTCCTCTGGAGGTGCTCTCGGAGAGCAGGAGGGTGAGATGACCGTGGGGACAGCAAAGCTGCAGATGGGAGCATGGTGCAGGGTGCAGGGCACCATTCCCTTGGGGAAGGGATGAGGGTACAGGGATGGGAGTTGGCTAGGTGAGGAGGCAGCCCTATCCCCTTCCAAACCTCTTGGCTGATGTGCTGACAGTGTGGGGTTTTTTCCCCAGAAATTAGACAACAGTCCGACACACATCGTGGCGTTTAACCTGTATTTCTCCTCCTGCTGACTGTGAGTGCTTCTTCCTTTTCTTCTGCTCTTTCCATGTCCCGTAACTCTCCCTCTTTGTGTCACTTCAGGCGTTGTATTCCCATACTCTCCACGGCTGGGTCGTTACAACTTGAACTTCCACGAGGCTCAGCGAGCCTGCCTGGACCAAGACTCGGTTGTCGCCTCCTTCGACCAGCTCTACGACGCCTGGAGGTCGGGGATGGACTGGTGTAACGCCGGCTGGCTCAGCGACGGCTCCGTGCAGTACCCCATCACCAAGCCCAGGGAGCCCTGTGGAGGGAAGAACACAGTGCCTGGGGTCAGGAATTACGGCTTCTGGGATAAAGATAAAAGCCGATACGACGTTTTCTGTTTTACTTCGAACTTCAACGGTAAGAGCCTTCTTCACCCCTACCTTGTAAATGCCTGTTTCAGTGCTTGGGAGAGAAAACTGCAAGGGCAGCAAGCGGTATTTGGTTTGTCAAAGCTTATGTTAGGCTTGGAAAATGTTGCTGTTGAATTTACAAGGACACATGCGCAGAGTAAATTTGTCTTTGCCACATGTTCACGTAGATCCTTTTTGCAACTCACAACTTGTATTGGCAGGAGTTTCTAATACCTCCGCTTTCACCCCATTAAAATTTATGTTTATGTCTTTTAATGTTGATACATGCCCGGTTTATTTCAGTTAAAGAGATGAAGAAACCTGCGATCCATTAATTGAGCTTTCCTGTTGAATTCAATTATAATAATCATGTCTTACAACTTAAATATATCATGAAAACAAAATTCCGATCACCACTTCATCTATGCTGTTGTCAACCAGCTCATGCACCAGCTCTAATATGACTAATACTTCCTTATCAGCAAAGCTATTTATAGCTTTTATGCCTAATAATTTAGATTCCTTACCATAGTACACTGCCAAAATCCTGTTCGTGTTTGCTCTGAGCTAGGTCTGCTCTAAACCTTATTTTAGTGACTGCAAGATTTTATGCTATTAGTAGGGGTTACTTTAGGTATGAAATGGCTTGATGTTACCATGCTATCATTTCAGGTTTAATCTAGTGGCTGAAAAAGGTTTAGATAGCATTGTTGTGAATGAGAGGAAAGCTGCAAGTCAACCTGGGCAAAAGGAGTCTACAGTCCTCTACAGCATCATGCTTGTGAATAATTCCTGTGCAACTTTGCATATGTTTGGCTTGCTGCCCACCCAGACCAAGAAGCATGGCCTTTTTTGTTTGTGCACAGATTGCTTATCCACAATGAAGCATTTTTGTCCTACAGCACACCAAAAATAAACATAAGCCTTGCCCTTGGAAGATGTGCTCTGGTGCTAAGTCCGCTCCGCCCTTTCAAAAAAAAGAAAAAAAATATGCCAAATCCTCAAACCAACAGTATTAAATTAGGCTGGATGCTCTCTGAAACAAACATTTAGATGATTTTCATCATGCTGCATCATTCCATGAAGTGCTGGCTCATTTTTTTTCTTGCTTCATTTATCCAAGGCAAAATCCTATATAAGCATATCTCTTATATGCAGATTTAACCCTATACTACCGAAAAAGCACCAACGAATAAAACATACAAGGAGAAAGAATTAACATGTGATAGCTGCACTATTTATATTGCTTGCAGGGTAAATGTTTGTGACAACTGTTCACTAATCACCACCTCTTTCCACACTAGCAGCTGGACAGTATCCCTTAAGGAAAGAGAAAAATAATTTTTGACAAAAAAAATAATGCAGACAGATAACTATGGTCTGTGCATTGATACAGCAAGAGAGAGAAAGAGGAATGAGCTAAGGTGAGGATATGGTATACAGGTAGCAAAGCAATCCAAGACAAGACACTAAAATGAATCTTATCCTTGGTTAGTCTGTTAAACCAACACGCAAGAGAGAATACTACACAGCAATAGGAGGATATAGGGAGCTGAGCACCACCTTTTCTAGTTCTCTACAACTCAGTGCCATGTAAGCCTCTCAAGGTGTCAGCAGAAAACCCAGACTTCAGCCTCTCTCAGCATCCATTTCCTTCACCAGAGACTCACCAGGTTGTCCTCACATGTCCCTGCTATGTTCTCCACAATTCATGTCCCAAGTTTACCTTAATATCCACGATAAACCCACTCACTCTCTCAAAATGGCAACTTCCTATTTCAGGCTCAACACTTCAGATAGCTTAGGTGTGCTTCACAGCATATGTTAACATTCTCACTGTAAAGGGAAAAGCTTATAATAACCCATTTTGCCACCAGGTTGCAGTTGCCAAAGATAGCGGCTACGGGCAAAGAGCTATTTCTGCAACACCCAATATTGATTCTCTCAGCTCAGGAACAGCCAAGGAAAATGAGAAGTGGTTAGGACACCAGGCGTTTCCAGCAGTGGCGGTGACTGCTGGAGTCTCCTGATGGCATGAAACAGAGAAGCCTTCAGCTTTATGTCAGGGAGCTGGAAAAATGTCAAGAGCCCCAGCATCAGGGGAATATAAGGCGAGCTTAAAAAAAGAAATCTCAGAGAGTGTTAGTTGTGGGAGCTGCTAGGAAGAAAGAGAGTGGGTCGGGTTTAGATTTCTGCTAAGTGGGTGCTTTTTAGGCAAAAAAATACCCCAAATACATTAGGATCTCCAGGATCCTAAAATAAAAGGGTTCAATTTTAAATAGTTCAGGAGTCAAAGCTGAAAAGTAATTTTCTAAAATACACGCAAAACTTGAAGGAGAAAGGTATGAACCAGCAAAATTACACTCAGTCATTAAGGTGAGAAATGAAAAAGTAGTCATTAGTGCATTGAGTTCAAATCCAGGTTCAGTGTTTCCACTTCTGAACTGTTGGATTCCATCTTCGATGAGCTGAATACACCAAAAAATACTGGTAAAAAGCTTTCTTACCATTAGTTAAGAATTCTATCTGAATTCATGTTACCTGCACAAGGAAATTGTTTTAGCGAAGTTTGTCTGCGATGCAATATAATATCATAATCTTATTACTTTATGAAATTACTCTCTGCAGTGTCTTTTCTTAGACTGGTATAAGTGCAGTAGTCAAACATCTTGTTCTCCCTGTGCAACTGCTTTGTACTCAAATCATTGTGTTGGTTCAAAGAACTGTTTGTGTTCTGTGTCTGTACAGGCAAAGCCAAAAACCTGAAAAGTTTTCATACACTTTGTAAATAGTAGTACCAGCAATTTACCAATTTATAAGAATATATAGGGATGTGTTTCATAAAACAATGCAAAGAGTAACATTAGCATAACGTTATCCATTAAATCCACCAAAATATTGTGAAATAACATAGCTTTCTTGCCTCCATTGAGGTAACTATTGGATGGCAACACATTTCCCACTCTACTTTTACATTCCTCATGTTGATGAAGACTAGTGAAAATAAATATGCACAAGTGGGAAGTATCTAACTTAGATTGGAAATTCCATGTTGGAATTTCCTGATGTCTGAGGGCTCAGCTCTGCTCCTTCATGGCTCCTTTCTCCTCTGATTTTCTTTCACAGTAGAAGCCATTTCAGTCCATGTTCTCTGTAGCAAATCTAAAGATTCCTGCCCCACGTGGTGGGACAACCTGCTATGACCCATAGGTTTTCTAGGGCTGCAAGCCACCCCAGTTTCACTCCCATCCTTGGCCAAAGGAATGGGGATACTCCTCTTCCAGACATTTCCTGTAGAAGGCCAATTTGGATATCTAAACACTGCTTCAGAGGAATAAGTGCAGCTAAAATCTTTTGTTGCAGTCTTCTCCACAGAGCCTAACAGGCACGGGACAAAGAACATATGATGGTATAGCTGAGTGGTTATTCATTGCTTAATTTCAAAGGGTTTCTGAAGAAGAACTGAAAAAACCACCATGAAAATCTTTTGCACTGAAAAGTGTTAAGTGAGATAAATATAAACATATCTATCCTCTATAATTAAGCATTGTCAAAGAAAAAAGAGGTATAAGTAGAGTTTGTATCACACTTTGTGCTCATTAGCATTGTAATATACTTTGCACACAAAACCACAATGCATAATTGATTGGTTATTAGCTCTAGCAGAACTAAGGAAAAATCTCATGTTAACAAAGTTAAAAATACAAAGAGTAAGTTTTAGGGATCTTGCTAAAAGTGCAGCTAGGAATCATGTGTTTATTACAATAACACACATGATAAGCTAACCACCTCCACCATTTACATGGGATAAAGGTATAGAAAGGCTCTGAGTAAGGCATGCTGACTCATCTGACCATTTCAGAATATTTTGTCTCTGGGAACAAGTAGCCATTGTTCCAGAAAGAGAAACAAACCTCCCCAAAAGAAAATTTCATAACCTTCCTTAGAAGTGGTTGCTTCTGAGTCACCAGATCCGCTGCTGATACTGGTGAGGGAGCGGTGGGGCTGGAAGAGGATTGTGTCCCACATCACGAATTTTTAACACATTCCTCAATTTTGAGGAACAATGGGCTCTCTTAGCCATTTAGTATTGCTATAAGACATCCTGAACCCCGTCTGCTGAGCAGATGACAGGGTCTACATGTTGTGCAAGCGACAGACACACCCCACTGGCTGCTGAGAGTCCCTTTTGCAGATGTATGAAACCACAGCTTAGAGCAATTTGCTCTTTACACAATAAAACAACTTAACTGGTGCCTGTGGCCATAAGCTCTTTGGCATACCCGTCGATGGTGGCCTGCAAAGGCAGTCCTGCACCCAGCCTTCCTCCTACCTGTGGCCACCTACCAAGCAGAGCTTGCTGCTCCACTGGCCCTGCACAGCATCGAAGACACCAAGCTGAGCAACAGGTTTCCCCAGCAAAAATAATTAGCTGTCAGGAGTAATCGTCGGGCTGAGCTCAAGTGCTTAGATACTTGATGGCTGGCTGCACCTGGAGGCATCCTCTCCGAGCACACCACCAAGAACCCTCTTTCAGAGGCACTGCATTGACACTTTCATCCAGAAAATAGCAAATGTAGTGGGACTGCCTTTCCCTGCCTCTCAAGATGATGGCCCACTGTCTAGTCCACCCGGCTGCGAAATAAAAAGCTTACTCTTAAACGTCTCGATTTGCAGCTGAGCTTGGAAAAACCTGCAAGGATGGTGCATCCCGCAAACTCCCATGGTCACAAGGGTGTAGGATATTTAGGTCAAGTGATCTTTAAGCTGTTCTCTTACATGCAAAATTTTAAAATAGTAATTATAGATGGGGTTTTATTAGGCTTGCATAAACCCTCTGCCCCATTATTTGGATGTGAGAAGTCAAATGAAGCACACTCATCCTCTGTAGGAGTGACCCAACTACCAGACATTAATGAGAGACAGACAGTTAATGTTTCCTACTGCATCAATTAATAAATACTAAGATTGAACAGTTAGGAACCCCTCTAACCTATTACCAGGGGAAAAGCAGCAAATCTGTACTGAGTTTATTAACAGAATTTAATTTAATCAGACATTCTGGATACACATTGCACCCCTGTGGGGTTTACTATTAAAGTTCTCCTATTTAAGGGACAGAGTATAAGAGTTTTTATTACTGATGTCATATGTCAAAAGCCTGACCTTACTTCAAATCCCTAGGAAATTACATTCCATTGACATATGGTTTGAAGAGCAGCTAATAAGCTAGGTGAAGTTTACATGCTATCAGTCCAAATCCCTGTTGCCCTCAGTCTGAAATCCTGTTTGCTTTGGGGAAACCTCTTAATAACATAGTAGGAGCAGGTTTCCACTTAATAAACATTCTCTTTAGCAACACCTTGTAAATGCTCTCCATTTGCTGAAATGGAGTTAAGCAAGCATTTTACAAAGAGGTAGATTATCTGTTCTCAACAGTTTTCTGTGGAATTACTGTAGGTATTGCCTCTGATAGCAATTAATTTTTTCAAAAGTTTCTTCTCCACCACAGCTACAATTTTTTTTTTAAGTTTTTTTTTTTTTTTTTAATATTCTTGTCATAGTATAAAGTTTCCGACCTTTACACAAAGGTAATTCCATCATCTTTATGTTGTCATCTGACCTGACATTTCTCCACTTAGAAAAAAAGCTGTGTGCTTTTTGCAGGGATCTGAAGCTGACGTAACTCTTCACCTTGTTCACCACTTTTTCTTCATCAAGAAAGTAATCTGAAACTGAGCAGAATTCTGTTTGAGTGTTTGTCTGGTTTTTAAGAGTGTATTATTCCGGAGTACATTCTTAACTAAGAAGACTGTGGTCTGGAATTAGAAGATCCCCACATGAATAAATACCTTTGTTTTTCAGCTAACTTGCCTCTCACGGGACAATCAGGTTGAAAAGTTGTAAATTTATTTGTAAATTATTATTCCTTCAAACAAACGCTATTCCTCTGCAATCCATCTCTACCTCACACTTAGTTAATTGTCAAATCGGTGATGATAAATAACCCCAAGTACAATGAGTGAAAGACTTACGATCAATTTATATTGCCTTGATAAATGAAATTACTGTTAGTATTATTGCTGCTTATGGATTAGTAGGGGAGACTTCCTTTTTGAGCTTTACTTGCTGGCATATGTTTTCATTACCTTGAGATGGAGGCACAATTTTCTCAGCAGCACCATCAGTTCAATGCCTTCTTATGGTGAGGATAGACCCTTTGATGCCTAAAGAGAAACAGAGCTGCAGAACTGCTGCGCGTGGTTTTGACGCCGCTAATGAAGACTTACGACAAGGCATGGTTTTGATCTACCACAGGCTCAAACTCTGCTTCTGAGAAGCTGTGCAGTATCTTGGCTTTCTTACAGGGGGAAAAAAAAAACAAACACCAACTTTTGCTTGTACTTAATCAGAAACAAGGTCACCACCTTGTCAGAGAGTCAAACTGCATGTGTTACCTCCAGCCACCCTCACCCAAGTGCTATCAAAGGCCAGATCTCGCTACGCGGTTCTTCTGAGAGGAAAGCTTGTGAGGGCTTTAAGCTAATGGTGAAATACACTGCTTTGGATGTTTACTGATTTCCCTTCTCCGACAGCTGCATGAGATCTGCTTTGCCTGAAATCTATGGGGTTCCTCAGACATTTGACTGGATTGTCATTGGCACCTTGTTGGTCAATGCATCTGGCACCATAAATTTGGATGTAGAGCAGGTGCTCTCTTCCAAATCCCAGGGTGTCTTCCATCAGCCCTCTCCCTGAACCTTTTTCTCCCTGTTTTTCTGCCTCTGAGGCTGAAGATGCCTTCCAACACTTCAGTTACCACTGATAGCAAGTGAGGGTGGGGGTGCCATGCTATGATAAGTTAGCAGAAATAGAGTGCTACATGCCTTTGTTCAAATAGAGTGTTTTCTCTATTCGCCTTTTTTTTTTCTTTTCACTCCTGATATTTACCAACTCACAATAGCACATTTTTAGCAGCCCAGTGTACAAATTGCACAGTCCCAAATCAACCACTGTTGGATAATGATTCTTCGATGGGACTCTTTGCCAGGAGGTGTAATGATAGGACAAGGGGAAACGGTTTTAAAGTGGAAGAAAAAAGATTCAGATTAGATCTCAGGAAGAAATTTTTTACTATGAGGGTGGTGAGACACTGGAACAGGTTGCCCAGAGAAGCTGTGGCTGCCCCATCCCTGGAAGTGTTCAAGGCCAGGCTGGATGGGGCTTTGAGCAACCTGGTCTGGTGGGAGGTGTCCCTGCCCAGGGCAGGGGGGTTGGAACCAGATTAAGTCCTGTTCTTAACATTTCAGAATGCTGGAGCACCTCTGCTGTGAAGACAGGCTGAGACAGTTACGGTTGTTCAGCCTGAAGAAGGCCCCTGGGGGACCATATAGTAGCATATAATACCTAAGGGGGGCCTAAAAGTGATTGGGAGGGACTCTTGGTCAGGGAGTGTAGTGACAGGACGAGGGGTAATGATTTTAAACTGAAAGAAGGAAGATTTAGCCTAGATTTTAGGAAGAAATTCTTTACTGTGAGGGTGGTGAGGCACTGGAACAGGTTGCCCAGAGAAGTTGTGGCTGCCCCATCCCTGGAGGGGTTCAAGGCCAGGCTGGATGGGGCCTTGAGCAACCTGGTCTGGTGGGAGGTGTTCCTGCCCATGGCAGGGGGGTTGGAACTTGATGATCTTTGAGGTTCCTTCCAACCCAAACCATTCTATGATTCTCCTCCAACCACCTTTATGACGCTGCTGCATCTTACTCATATCACTCAATGGTCCTTTTTTTCCCCTTTCTTTCTCTCACTAGGTCGTTTTTACTACCTAATCCACCCCACCAAGCTGACCTACGACGAAGCCGTCCAGGCGTGCTTGAAGGATGGAGCTCAGATCGCTAAAGTGGGCCAGATATTTGCGGCCTGGAAGCTGCTGGGGTACGACCGCTGCGACGCGGGCTGGCTGGCCGACGGCAGCGTCCGCTACCCCATCTCCCGGCCCAGGAAACGCTGCAGCCCCAACGAGGCCGCTGTCCGCTTCGTGGGCTTCCCCGACAAAAAGCACAAGCTGTACGGTGTCTACTGCTTCAGAGCCTACAACTGAAAATACCTAGAGTGCAAAAGTTTTAAATTCATTAAGAACATGTGAAAGATATATTTTTTTTTTTGTTTGTGTGTGTTTTTCGTTTTCGATATGAACTCATGCAAGTTACCAAAACTGTGATAAACCTTTTTTACTTACTGTAAAGAGTCATTTTCATCCACCCAACCCATTAATTTGTGGGGTGTTTTGTTTTTTTTTTTTTGTTTTAATATTTTTGTAAAAGTATCATTCCATAGTTATTTTAAATTAATATAATTTAATGGAAGATCTAGGTAAGGAAGTTTTAGAGCCAAATTCTTTAAGCTACGTCATCCCAACAAAATATACTTTTCATGAATGGGGCATGCAATAGAGCTTGATAATTGCTAGGGCACAATTATGAAATGTAAGGCTACTCAAAGCAGAAGCTTTTAAAAGCACAAATTTTACATATTTGTATCCGTTTGAGAAATACTGCAAATTGCTTATATCAGGAATTTTGAAATAAGATTATCTTTTTGTTAAAGGGGATCAGTGAGGTTTTGCAGAAAAACCTCACAAAAATGTAGGTTAGAAAATAACTGTTTTCACTGGTTTCACATGGGAACAACAGAGTAAATTAAAAGCAGCTAAAACAGTCCACAAAAGTTGGACTAGTTTTACAATTTAAAATCTTGCCTTTCTGAAAAATGAGCTCATGGTCCCATGCATAGGAACAAGCACAATTAGTTCTCCTGAACATTTCAATTGTGGTTTTGTTGAGTATAAATCATTGATGGGGGAGTGAATAATTAACTAATGAGAAAATCCTGTTTTCTTCTTAACTCCAATTAAAGATGCCTGAGAAATGTTGTATTACCTTTGAGTAGCTTTACTGAGTTATTTTTAAACTCTTAAAGGCCATTTGCTAAGCAGCGTATAGCATCTACTCAGGGCAGTTGTATAAATGAACTGCTGGACAGAGAAATTGTAAACTTTAGCAGCTTGATTTTACATTAGCCTTTGAAATGTTATTGTCTTAATGAAAGAACAGTACAATATTTAATATTTCTTACCTATTTACACATCACAAGAAATAAAACTTAGAAAAAAACCCATTAAAATAAGTAAGTCTTAGAACAAGATTATAAAATAAAATCTGAAACCAGATGTTAAGGTTTAGAAGAGAAAAAAACACACTTGTTTCCTTACATCTCATTTGTGTCTTAAAAGTACATTTGTTTTTTAAGCTATCAATGGAAAAAATAGTATCGCTAGCCCTGAATTATTTAGTTAATCCTCATTAGAGTTAACATAATTAAAAAAAAAAAAAAAAAGCATTGAAACACTTCTTTTCACTCTATCTGCAGTGGTCTAGGTGGAAGATGTTTACTTTTATCTGCCAGTGTCAGAGATAAATGCACTGTGCATGGTGCCTAGGATTTCCAGAGCTGCCTAAAACACTAGGTCCTCCCTAAATACCAGTTTGAGGGAATTTGGATTTCTGATTCAAACTCATTTTGGATGCAGCAATTCTTGGTGCTCATCTTCAGATACCTTAATGCAACCAGTTTTTCAGAGAGTGGGTGCTCAAGGCTTTCTGAAAATTTACTCCACTTATGGTGTCTCAAGCTGGATATCCAAAAAACCAAGAGGCCACTGATTGAAAATATCTTGGTCTTGAGTAATCTCTTAGGCAGTTTTGACATTCTCTATCCAGTGTTGGTTCTACCACTTAAAAATGGAGAACTCTTTTTCCTACTCTACGCTTGCTGACTATGAAGATTTCAGAGGACCAATATTTGTATTATGCAAAGTTTTATAGCTTCCCATTGTTTCCATATCTAAACGAGATATAGTGGTATTTATCCAAGTAGGACACGAGTGGTATGCTTTCATGAATGGTTTGGTGTAGTTGTTTTCCCGTGGACATGAGTAAATAAATCTCTTTCTCGGAGTCGTTGTGGTCCTGTTTTAAAGCTCTGTGAGTAAAAACCAGGAACGATGTATGGTAGGACTGTAGTGGAAAGATACCATAGTGTAAAGTGTTTCATTGGAGATAGTTCCCATCAAGCTCAGAGGCAGATTTCCATCCTTCTGGGGATATTTGCATCCACTGTGGATATGTGCTCATACTATACAGATGAAGCAATCTCGGTGCCAAACACCCCCTCCCCCTTTTTTAAATCCACTAGGAATTGGATTTTATTGAAACTCTATCACTTGGCGATAAAGAGACTTATTACAGGTCAAGCCCCTAAACCCATGTAATCTTCTTCAAACAGCCATTTTTTGAATCAGTGTCCATTTCACACATTTTCTCAGGGGATTCAGGACCTTTTCTGAACCCTTTGGAGAAAAAATGGAAATGGGAAGAGAAGTGGAAAATATCCGTACAGGATAAGGAATGGGGTATGCAAGACTGGACCATGACCAAGAGGAATGTGTGTTATTCCCCCATCCAACCTTCAGAAACACGGAAAAAAGATGCAGACTATTTCATAGTCTTTTCTGAAGCTTGGAGAGGGAGGTTGTGGGATGGGGAAAGCTCTAGGGAATATCCCAGTTTTTACCCCGGCTAGATCCAGAGTTGCTGTAAAGAGGGAAGCCTTTTATGCAGCTGTCTCTATCCTCCCTAAAGATCTGCTCGATCTGGAGGAGGCTGCATGGTTTTCCTATTGCACAGAGGTGAAAAGACCCTCATGAAAATTTTTTTATTTTATTTTTTTTACCTCTCCAGGGAAACCCTTCACAGGGTTTCACCCAGACACATCTTTTTTTGCAGGACTGGGGATTATATTTTGCCTGCATAAAAAATGTACACACCCAACCCACTCGTGGGGCTGGCTAAAAAGTGCCCTCACTGCTAGACCAAAGGCACTGCGGGAAAGGCAGATCCAGCCTTTCGCCGACTTCGCCGACCCTCTGGAGATGGCTGGTCGGGTCCTAAATCACAGCAATCTCAGGCTTTGTGCTAGCTTATGCCTTCTGCCTCCCTATCTCCGGGCTGCCGCTGTGACAGCCCGGGTGTAGCATCCCCCCCCCCCCCCCCAACTTCAACCCACCGCTGCTTTTCTGCACCCCACGACACCCCGGGCCGGTGGCTGAGCAGGCTCTGCACCACCCAGGTGATCCCTCAGCTCTGGGGAAAGACCCCCTTCCCCCATTCAGCTCCCGGCTTGGCAGCACAAAGAGACCACGAGGCGACGAGGAAGGAGGTCTCCAGAGGGACGCTGAGCTGGCGTATGGTCACAGATGGCCAGATTTACCCTTCAGTTATAATGCCTGTAAGTTCGCTTGCTAGGAGCCACGTGTGATGGAGTCTCAGTACCTGAATTCACATTTGTCGTGTTACTTTACCAAGAGCCCAACAGTCTAACTGGGGATCAGGCTAGGTGTAGTTCTGCGTATTGATATACAACATTGTGTATTATTGTAACAGGTGCAGTTAATTGGGTAGTTCGATGAAAACGCCTTTGTATGTAAAAAATAACTAGTTCTAATGTAAGCAGGTATAAAAACCATAAAAAGCATATGATTACCTGAGAAGTGGGCACAAATAGACAAAAAGACACGAATTATATTTATTTTTACAGCTACTGACTCCATTTCCTTTTATAATGTCAAATGTCAGGATGTTTTCTTATTTTTGACTAAGCTAGCTAGGTGCTTGGATAAAAACTTTAAAAAGCAGCTTGAAAACTGGATAAAAGTCTGTGCTATTTTCTTTTCATGAGAGAATATTCTATCATTAGAATCAATTCATGTTCTCTGTCATTATCTTGTATTTCGCAATGTATCTGAATTTTAATGCCCATGAATTGACAACAATTAAATCATGTTGTTCTTTTCAAGATGATGATTTCTCCTTATTGACTGGCCATTCTTCTACTTCTGTCTCAGAAAACACAAAAAGAAAAGGAATACATCAAAGTATGGAGATACTTACTGCACTATAGTAGACAAAGCGATTACAAGACTAAGGGAAAAAAAAAAAGACTACTCTGTGAATATGATTTATAAAAGAAATAAAGAAAACTGTATTCCAGAGCTTTTGTTTTATGCTTCTTTGAAGCATTTTGGAAGTAGAAACGCAAGTACCAATTTCTTCTTTGTGTTCTCTCTCATCTTCTAAAATAAAATAAAGCAAAATTAAGGAAAGCTTTTTTTTTTTGGATGGTTGGTGTTACACTGCATATACATCACTAGAAACTGGATGTAGAACACTGTTTCACGTATGGGAAAATTTATGAAAATTTACTATGGCCTTAGAAAATAAAAGCAAACAGAAATTGCTCTTCATAATGGGCACCAAGAAAGATTTCTAGTGTCAAGCAAATAATTAATTATTCAAAGCATTGGACCAGCTTTTCAGCTTCTGTAATCACACTATTTCTGCATTCTTTTATTGACCTGTACTAGATAGTTAACTCTGAAAGTTACCTACACTGCACCACTTTGTTGAGAAATACTAATCTTCCAGAAGCTTTCAGTGTATCTGCCATGTTTTAAAATAGATGGAAAAGAGCTGAGGAAAACTTTCACTCAGAATAAGGGAAAGCTGTATTACTATTAATACACGGTCGAGACTAACATACTTTTTTCCTAACAATTTGGTTAAAAGAATTTTAAAACTAGTAACATTTTCACTTTATATCATTAAGCATAAAATTAAAGATCCTTTTGGGAGAAACAGTCCCTCAATAATTAGGATTTTCATTAATAGCAGCAGCTTCCATTGAATGACATCTCACTGTTCAAAATAGAGAGACTTCATGCTTGGAAGTGGCTGGATTTAAGATTTGATAGAACTACTACAAAACTATAAATGTCTAGATTTTCACTGAAAGACTTAGCAAATGAAGTCACTGGCTGCCATTTTATTTAGCTATTCTTTCTGTTACTCACAAAGGATACCAGCAGCTTTCTGTTCAACAACAGCAACAGCTGGTTGTTCTTCTTGAAGGTTTTAAGAAGCTCAGTCTTACACATTTGTTAGCCATTTTCTCTTTTTTTCAGAAGCAGTTACAGGAGTGGATCAAAAATATTGCAGAGCAGTAAAATTCCAGTGCCAGGGTTTCAAATCAAAAATACAAAACTAACAAACAGGCTGAATTTTAAGAGAAAGGTAAGGTGAACTGATGAAAAAGAATTACTACTGAAAAATAATTAATAATTACTAGTGAAAAATAATTGCTCCTGTTCCCGTGCCATGAAAAGGGATGGTCCCTTTGAAACAAGGGTGTCCTGAAAGAAGAAACAGGAAAGACCACAGAAAGCAATACTTCAGTATTTGGTCTTTGACACTGAATTTGCCTGTGTTACATTTTGCCCAGTAATTATTAAGCCATAAGTTCAAATATACAATAACACACCCACCCACACGCCTCACACACACTCCCCCACCCACCCCACCCCCCAAAAAAAACAACCCGAGATTAATAATAGACCAAAAGTTTGGAAGGCATTTCTTCTTTTTCTTCATCAAGCCTTAAACTAGAAGTAGGAATTTCTAATTGGAAGTCCTCTGAGTCTACTGTTTTCCTCTTTTTCTCTGAAAATATCTTAATCTGTAAAGCCACTACAAGGTAAAATGTAAAGTCCATCTATTTCTTCAATATTGTGCCAGAGGCAAGCAATTGTTTGACAAATAACAATAGCACTAACATGGGACTCAGCTAATAAATTATGCATGAACATATTTTCCAATGTGTCCAGTGGGTATTTAATGGATTCATTTTTTTTAACTACCAGTAAACAAAACCAAAATAGTACGCCTTGATTCTAGTTGAATAAAAACAGTTTGGGTTTTATCCTATACTAAAAAGATATATTGTAAAGCATTTCAGCTCCCTACTTCCTACGCTGCTGTTCACTGTACTTAAAGAAATCAAGATGAAATTAAGTAGAAAGCAAATGGCATCATCTTGATTTCTTTAATAACTAGAAGAAAGTTTCTTGTTTTCTTTTATGTAGAAAAAGATCAGATTACAAAATTCTCAAATTCTAGCTCAAACACTATAGACAAATTAAGAGGTCTTCATTTCAGCAGAACTGGCTTGTGAATCAGCGGCTGCTTCTTACAATTTCAAACTTCGAAATCCCAGCATAAAATGAGTTTTTATTCCGTGTTACCAAACATGAACCACCAGTGACTATTCTTTTTCTTGACTTTCAAGAGTGGTTTTTTGGAGGGTTTAGTTCTTTGTTAGCACTCCTGATTTGGAGTGTTTAACTTTCACCAGCAATTAAGATACAACAAACAAGAAAACCACTCCACCCGAAAAGAAGACAAAAAAAACCCAAACCAAAACAAAAAAAAACTAGGAACACAACAAACTAAGAACAGTGTATGACAATAATCGCTTAATAATGATACTGAAGTATGAAAAACAAAGGAATAGGTACAGGAACAGCATGTAATTCCACAGTTCCTGGACCTGGAGAGTGACATTGCTTCCCCCTGTTGAAGGTTTGCCAGCAGACACAGGTCCTCATGGCTCCAGACACAGGTAGCCCTGTGCTGCTGGCCTTTATGCCACTTTTCTCTCCATCATGGACCTTGTTGCAGTCCCTGGAAGGAGAGCAAGGATGGGAATACCCATGGAATAACACCACAGGGTGTTTGCACTGTGGGAAGGGTGAAGTTGCCATGGGCACAGCTGGCTGGAGCTCTGAATTCACTCTGATTGCTTGCAGAGGAGTCCTTGCTCACAGGAGAGCATCTCCTATGTAATGCTTCAATACGCTCATTAAACTGGGGTTTTGGGAGTGACCACCAGAGACAGGGACACTCACTTGCTCACCAGGGTGTCCCTCAAGCGCAGGCAGTTTCTATGATGTTGACTTTCATATTTACCTTATTAACAGTCTCTAGTGGAAGAAAGACTTAAATACTCACTTGACCCTTCCTAGCCCTTCCTTGAACTTAAACATCTGCTAGCTAAGTGTTTCTAA